CACCCCCCTCAAGCTGGCAAGTACACATTGTGTACTGCCAGCTTGTTAAGTGAGAATCAGAATCTTTCATATGCAAGACCTTTAGTGAACAGGTCTGCCAATTGCACATCCGTTCTTACATGCTTTGGTATAATCAATCCAGATTTCAATCTCTCCCTTGTGACATGACAATCCACCTCAATATGCTTTGTTCATTCATTGAAAACTGAGTTTTCCGCAATATGTATGGCAGATTGATTGTCACAGTACAATGTTATAGGGTCTGGATGATCACAAAAGAAGAACTCAAGCATTACCTTGATCCATTGAACTTCACAACACAATTGTGCCAAAGTTCTGTATTCTGCCTCAGAGGAAGATCTGGATACTGTCGTCTGCTTTTTGCTTTTCCAGGTAATCAATGAAGATCCTAGGAAGGTGCAGTATCCAGTCATTGTATCTTCTTGTATCAGGGCAAGTTGCCCAGTAAGAATCTGAATAACCAGAAAGTTGTAATGCGGTTGATGATGAAAAGTACAAATCCTGTCCAGGATTGCCCTTGAGATATCTAAGAATTCTCTGTAAGCCCTATAAATGTGCAGTGGTTGGCTGTGCGTGAAACTGCGACAACTGTTGAATAGGAAAGCAAATATCAGGTCGAGTTGTAGTCAAGTACTGTAATTGCCCCAACAGTTGTCTAAAACCACTTCCATCTACTAAGGGTTCACCATCATTTGCTGAATACACCACCTTTTGACTCAAAGGCGTTTTAGCAGGTTTGGAATCTAAGAACTGAGAGTTAGCAAGTAATTCAAGACAATACTTTCTTTGGGAAACCATGATACCTGAACTTGACCGAACAATTTCCAGTCCAAGGAAGTATTTAAGCTCTCCCATGTCCTTTATCTTAAAGGCTTGTTTCAAATGTTTCTTTAGCTTAGTGATTAGTTCCATGTTGTTAACAGCAATGACTATGTCGTCAACATAAACAACCAACACAACAACAGAATCATTTGCTGTAAATCTAAACACTGAGTGGTCAGCATGACATTGTGTGAAGCCTGATTCAACTAAGAAAGTCTCTAACTTAATGAACCATTGTTTGCTTGCTTGCTTCAGACCATATAATGACTTCTGCAGCTTGCAAACCTTCCCTTTGAATTCAGGTTTCTCACGCAATCCGGGTGGTAACACCATATAAACTTCCTCGTCTAAATCCCCATGCAAAAATGCATTACTCGCATCCATCTGATGCAATATCCACCCCCTGACAGTTGCAACTCCCAACAGCAATTTGACAGAATTCAATTTGGCAACAGGAGAGAATGTATCTTGAAAATCAATACCTGGAACCTGAGTATAGCCTTTAGCCACAAGTATGGCTTTGTATTTGTAAATGGTTCCATCTGGATGAAACTTTGTTTTAAAAATCCATAAAAAACCAATGAGAGTTTTACCATCAGGCTTATCCACAATGATCTATGTCTGGTTCTGATCCAGGGCTACAAGTTCATCATTGGGTGCAACCTCCCAGTAACCTTCCTTCATGGCTTCTTCATAGGTTTTAGGATCCATACAAGAGGATATGTTTAAGTAGAAACTCCTGAAGTTAGAGGGGAGATACTGGTAAGAGAGATGGTTGGAGATGGGATAAGGGATATCAAGTAAGGAAATGTGAGTCTTGGTAACCAAGCCTAGATGATACATTTGGAGATAGGCGGGCTGTTTGTGTACTCTATCAGATTTTTGAAGAGCAATAGGTAGTGGTGAAATAGCATGTGATTGACCAGGTGAAGGAACAGGGGAATTGGGAGAGGAAGAAGGAATAGGTGAAGGTGGATCTGCAGGCAAAGGTTGCTCTGCATGAGAAGTAGAAGAAGAGTCATCAGAAGACGAACTAGAAGGAGAATAAGGGCTGTAGTCAGGATTAGTGGGATCCTGAGGTTCAGGGTAGAAGGGAACTAGAGTGGTGGAGTCTTGGATAGGTGTAGAATCAGAAAAGATATGATCATTTGGACTTGAGGTTGCTGGAGTGCTGCTGTCATGAATGACATTTTTGTAGGGAAAGACTGTCTCATGAAACACTACATCTCTAGAAGTAAAAACTTCATTGGTATTTGGATCATATAATCTGTAGTCTTTCACTCCAAACTCATACCCAACAAAGATGCATCTGATTGATCTGACAGCCAGTTTAGGTTTGTGTGGCAACACTGAGGTAGCATATGCTAAGCAACCAAAAACTTTGAGGTCTGAATAATCAGGTGGTACACCAAAAAGGACTTAAAAAGGTGTTTTGTTTGAAAGGACGGGGGAAGGAAGTATATTAATCAGAAAAGCAGCATGGAGAACAAAGAAGCTTCCGAAGGTGACAGGTAAGCCAGATTCAAATCTTAAAGCCCTAGATACATTCAACAAATGTTTATGCTTCCTTTCCACTCGTCCATTCTGTTGAGCTATTCTTACACAACTCATTTCATGGAAAATTCCATGTTTCTGGTCAAAATCTTTCAAATGGAACTCCAGTCCTTGATCAGATCTCACAATTTTTATATGCTTGTTGAATTGAGTTACAACAAGAGCATGAAAAGACTGAAGAATAGTTCTTGCTTCTGATTTAGATCTCATGAGATAAATCCAAACGGATCTACTACTGTCATCAAAAATTGTGAGAAAGTAAACAAAACCATCAAGAGAAGGGGTATCAATAGGGCCCCAAATGTCAACATGTATCATATTAAAGGGTTCTTTACTAATGGAATTGCTCTTAACAAATGAGAGTCTCTTCTGTTTAGCTAAGTGGCAGACTTCACACTGTGTTACTGTACTGGTATCTACTTCTTTGTGTTGTTTTTATATTTCTTGTAGCTTGGGGAGTGAAGAATGTCCAAGTCTACGGTGCCAAAGGTTAAAAACTTGTGGAGAGTTTGTGAAAAGTCTTGATGTCTGAGATTGGTCAAAAAGGTAGAGCCCTCTATCTGCTCGACCAAACCAATCCTCAGCTGAGAATGAGGTCCTGAATGACACAAAAATCAGAACGAAAAATGAGTGAGACTGGAGAACCATGTGTCAACTTGCTTACACAAACAAGGTTGTAAGCAAAAGACGGAACACAAAGAACATTGGTTAACAACAAAACACATGACTGTCTAACTATCCCTATGTGTGTGACTGGGATTTGTTCTCCATTAGGAAGGGTGACAGAGATACCTTCTACAGATTTATACTTAAGGTAGTAATTCACAGAACAAATGATGTGATCACTAGCTCCTATTTCTAGGACCCAAACATGTTTAGTTCCATTCATTCTTGTTAACGGAACATATGAACCTGCCATAGAAGTGGAATGTCGATTCAGAGTAACAGAATTTGCAGCAGGGACAGTAGGTGACAGTGGTGGTGATGGTGAACTCTGCTGCTGCATCATAGCTTTCAGTTTGGTGAAGTCTTCCATGGAAGTAGATAGCCTTGCAAGAATGGAATGAGTGTCATTGGGACTGTTTTGTCCTCCATGTGAAACACCCTGAGAAACATGTTCACCAACATCAACAAATCCAGCAAATTTAGAGTTGTCATCCTGCATTTTCTTTCTAGCTTTCTTCATTTTTAGCTTATAACAATCTTTAATGACATGATTGTTCTTCTTGCAGTAAACACAAAAGAGCTCTTGATTTGGATATGGTTGAGGAGTTGACTGAGACTAGGGTATTGTCTCTGTGATTGGTTTGATCATGCTGCTAAAGCAATGGATTCTGCAGGCTTGTTTCCAATCAAACCATTACCCTTCATCTATCTTTCAAGATGAATGACAGACTTGTAAACTGAGTCAAGGTCAGGCAGAGGGTCAACCAGTAGCATTTGAGTCTTGACCATTTGAAAGTTAGGTGATAATCCCTATAGGAATTTGATGACTCTACCATTTTCCCTGTACATACACACAGTTTCATAGGTCTTGGAAGGACAATCACACACAGGAATGCAAAGATAGGAGTCCAGCACATCCCACAAAACCTTCAGATCTGTGTAGAACTGCCTCACAGATTGATTACCCTGATTGCAAGTGGCTAGACGACCTTGCAAATCAGCTATTCTAATGGTATCTCCCTGACCAAACTTGGATTTCAAGTACTTCCAAGCTTCACTAGCAGTTTTGATTTTCATAAGACTAGGTCGAATATCATCAAATACAGAACTTCTAATCCAACACAGAATGGTTCCATTAACTCTCACCCAAGTAGAATGTAAGGGATTGTTAACATCTGGAGGCGGTAGAGACCAATCGATGAAGACTATCTTGTTATTTGGTTCTGATTGCCTCTTTCATGGATACACTACACACCAGATAGTTATGATCCGTGAGTTTGAATGAGAGGATTGATGTGAATGCGCCGTCTGGACATGTAGTAGGGATTCATGTAAGGATCTTCAAATTGAGTTTCCTTGTACACCATTGCTCTAGTGGTGGAATAAGATGCAGTAGAAGATGTACTCATCGTGTATCAAATGAAATAGAGGCTTGTAAGGAAGATAAGAGGTAAGTCTTGAGAAGAAAAATTGTTGATCAAGAGCAACCAGGCTCTGATACCATGTGAAATTCCTGGTTGGAATTAGGGTTTTGAGGAAGGAAGGGAAGAAGTGAGGAGGAAGAAGATAAGATTGAGTAGGGTTATTGGAAGAGGAGGCTCAATGCCAGCTCTGGACTCAGTGGCCTTTCATTTATATACAACGATTACTTGCTAACCTCTATACAAAACCATCAATCACAAGACGACAAGTGGCTAAGACCATTGATAAACAATAATGAATTGACTTAAGGAAAATGGCAACGTATAAGAGAAGCTATACATGTATCTACTTACAAAAGAACACCACAACTTCCAAACCATTGCACTTTAGTCCTTTCTTGTTCTTCAGTGATCTTCATCTGCAAGTGCAACAGTCCTTCAGCTGTAGCTGCAAATGATCATTCTTCTCCAACAATCAGCAGGAGGATCATGGGAAGATCACAACCACACTTGCCATATAAATCATTAAGTTGATTCTAGATAAATAATTTGAATGACAAGCCAATTTGGTCAATTTGTTGTGGAGTTGCTGGCGAGTTATTCCCGAATAAGCTTTTCCCGTCCGATTCCCCGAATTCCCTCTCTCAAGTCTCATCTACAAGTTGTCACAACTCACAACCCACCTCAATCAATGGATCAATCTCGACGGGAATGAGTATTTGGAAAGTATATTACACAAACAAGACAAAAATAGAGAGGAGAAGAACTTGAGAGAACAAAGCAATCTGCATGCAACTGGTTGAGTTACAGCTGCAGAGAAAAGAAGATAGAGGGGGAGAAAAGAGAGAGAGAGAGAGAGAGAGAGAGAGAGAGAGAGAGAGAGAGAGAGAAGGGAAAGTGATTGTGTATCCTAACCGACGTCGTTCGTGTACTTGATGGTGTTTCCTCTGCCGGTGAGATTCGCAGAATTTTGGCGAGGAAGTTGAAGAGAGTTTCGAACATGTTCTCCATAAGGGAGACGTTATAGGTACTCTGCAATTGTTTTTTTTTCCCCTTCTTTTGAACAGTTTGTGTAACTGTAGATTGAGATTTTTGGGATAAGATTGAGATTTTTTCTCCTTGTGTTGTTATCATGTGTGGCAGAAAGGCCAAGTTGACTCAACAATTTATGATCTGCCGTCAATGCTAATTCTTGTTCTTCACGCTGTTAGTGAGAATGGACGGAAAAAAATAAAATGCACTTTTTTTTTTACTTTGATGGCCTATTTTCATTTTAGTGGTATCCTTGTCTCAATTCTAAAAATTTAATGGTATCTTGAATATTCCACCATGTGGATTTAAAAATGAGATTTTTATGATTTAAAAATTTAAAAATTATTATGAATTTGAAACAATTATTTATTTGTTGAGATATTTTGATAATGGTTCTAATAGTCTGGAATTTAACCTAATTTACCTTCTTTCCATTTTTTATTAGATGGACCAAATTATATCAAACTAGGAATAATGAAAGATGATAGGGATAGGGATAGGGATAGGGATATCATTTTGCATCATGATATTTTAGCAACTTGCCGAATCCCAAGTTATGATGTGGGATTCATAAATACGTCGTGCCCAGGGATTTAGAGCAAAAAATAAACACAAATTGGTGGGCTCCATAGATTTGTGTACAGCTTTTTGGGTGAATTGCAAGTTTGGTCACTCATATTACATGTATGTTACACGTTGTCATCCGAACCATTTTTCCTTTCATTTAGCCACCAATACTATATATTTATATCATTCGCGATAACTTGCCGTCTAGTTCCGTTAAGTCTGTCCTACGTGGTGGACAACAATTATGTTTGACTGTTAAAATTGTGAAGTTAGAATTACAAAATAAATAATTAATTAATTTAAATCTTTTATACATTTAATTAAAAAATATAAAATGGTGATGTGGCCCATACACGATGAAGAATCGGGAGCCCCGTGAGGGACAACCCGTAGATGACTAGATGTGGTTGAAGGTATGGACTTTTTGGTGGCGGGGTGGAGGCTTGCCGGCTGGTCAGTGCGGTGGAGCTCCGAGCCCGTGACCTTGTGGTTCTGGGTTCATCTGCTCTCTCATCTTATCCCGATAAACCTCCCATCCATTCCCTTTTTCCCCCACGTTCATATCAATATTCTAGACGGAAAATTGAAATTTTAAAGTGCATAGAGACTCAAAAAAGAAAATTGCATTAATTTTCCATAATTAAACCATGCAGTAGAAACCAAAAACAGATTTTATTTATTAATACGAAGATGTCGATCGGGAGTACAGATGCTGAGATGTAGCGGCCAACTTCTCAATTATTCCTTAGAAACCATCGAGTACATACATAGCACCAAACAGACGACGCCGGCGTTTGATGTTACTTCCACGACCGACACATGCACCACATTATCACACACCAACTTTCGGAACCGTGGCTCGTTCCGGTTCGACCGTCGTCCGGGCGCTTCCCAGGGCGTACGCCGCCGAGTGCAGCCAGCCGGCGGTAGTACTGTTGCCTTGAACAGTAGCCGGGTCGACGGCGGCGGAAGTGTAGTTGGCGTGCGACGGAAGGCAGCAGCAGCACCGAATATGCTTTGGCGGCTTACAGCAGGACAACTTTTCAGGGCTGAATTCTCTGACGCCGCTGCATACCTCGGTCACCACGGCGACGGTGGCCAAGAAGACGCAAATGACAAGACCCAGCCTGTGGAAATTGAAACCCATATTGCTATTGCTATATTCTCTCTGTGCTGGTTTCTTTTTTTTTTTTTTTTTTTTTTGTTGAATGGGTACACTTTTGTTTGTTTCATGGGAAATGAAACGTATATATAATGTGTTCATTTTTAATTTCTTTCCATAGTTTGTTGTAGGGACATTTAATATTTGAGCAACTTTTTTTTCATTTCCAGGGGAAATAAGTAACACCTGTAGTACTGTGCATGGAAGAGAGAGAGAATGAAATCTGACTTCCATATTTCAATGATGAGAGGACGCTTGGATTTTCTGCGTAACACATGTACACACTACACTTTGCATGGAGGACAGGCAATATAATTTGTTGGGAATTTCCCCCAAAATGGTATAGCTGATAAATTTGTTGTTTCCATAATATGATTTAGAATATATAAAAGATTTTAAAATACACAAGTTTGAACTAGATCGCTTTAGTGTTTCAGCGGTTTCAATGTCGTTGCGATCCGTTGAGAATTTATTAAGATCGTTGCCATAAAAATTATTTAAAAAAGTTGTTGCGCACTCAAGTAATCTAGCAACGAAATCGTTGGGGGTTTAAGAGATTACCACTAGGGATGGAAACCAAACCCATGGTCGCGGGTACCCCACCGGCCACGATCCAGTCAATGGGGGGAATCCACGCATTGACTGAGTATGGGTAAAACCCGCAAAATGATTGGTATGAGACAGGTATACTTTTATTTATGTTTGTAATTCTATAATTGTCTTGTGTTGGAGCAGCTTTCATGTTAGGGTGTGCCTATGGTGACATGCATGTCACCATAACATGGACATTTCGGTCGACCTAATCGTAACAGCGGTCGATCGAATTGACTAATTTAGGCACCCTGAGGACTCATCGCGGTCGACCTCAAAGATCATATGGTCGACCGTTTGTAGTTTAAGTTGTTATTTTTGGTCGACCACAATAAAATCTCGGTCGCCCTTTTCGTTGGCGTCAGAAGCAACATGGTCAACCGTAAAGGTATATAGGTCGACCACTTGATGGCGGTCATTAACAAAATGGTCGACCATTTACAGCAAGAGGTCGACCAGATTGAAGAGAAGTGTTGCATCCATTTATCCATAGTATTTGACGTAAAATGAAGATCGTGTTGGTTTCGCGGTCTACACAATCTGGTACTAGGTCGACCAAATATAGGTAAATCAACCTATGCCCTGCATCTTTTTTGCTTATGTATGTTGATTTGCGTGGTTCTTTTGCTCGTACAAATTATGTTTCAAACCAACATAACAACTAAACAATGATAACAAGGACTCATAACTTCATAACATAACAACTAAACAAACTAACAATAAATACAATAAAAACAAAAATCAGAATTGTTCACACATAACTAAAATCTAAAACCAGAGAATAACAATCAACAATCGTTTTTAACACTTAACAATAAAAACACACAATCTAAAATCATCGAGTTCCTACTCCTGTCCCTCTCTCCCTCATTCACATTTTCTTCATTGTTATTGCTAGCATTATGGTAGTCGGATGTGGTGGGATGAATGTATCCTCCATTGAAAGATTGAAACTCATCTCGCATCTCATTCACGGTCACCTGCAGTGTGCTCATCTGGGTGGTCATTTGCCCCATGTAGTCGTACATTCCAGTCATCTGGGTGGACATCTGGCCCATGTATTCGTACATGTCATCCATGCACTCCCACACACGCTCTAAGGTGACCGTTGGAGTTGAACTTTGTGCCTGCGGCATTGGCTCGTCTCAGGCTCCTTCATCAGAATCACCACCATCATCATCATCATCATCACCACCATGGACACCATGAACATTGTTTATTCGGACATACCATTACGGAGCTCAAAGCCCATCTTTTTCAGAGATGAAACTGTATAGAACTCCTGCCTTGAGATTCTTAAGCAAACCTCACCATTTAAATTCACATTAAAATGCTCAAATAGCAAAATCAGGATCATCCCATAGGGAAGATTCCTGTTTGAACTCTCTGCAGTAGTAAGCATGTGGGTAAGCATGTGGTTAAAAATCAAGTATGGCAAGTTCACCTTCTCATCTAACAGTAGGTTGGTGAGGAGCTCCATGTCGAAGTAGGTGACTGTCTCCCGATGTCCACTCTTTGGCAGAATGTTGTAGGAAAGCATATGGTGAAGAACTCTGGCTTGAAATGTCAGGTGGTTACTCGTTGGCTGGCCTACTGCGATCCTGAGCATCTTCCTCTTCATCAAGACCACATACCGTCTGGATTTGCTTGGTTTTCAAGAAATGAGTATCATTCCAAGCAGTGTAAGAATTGATTCTCTTCCCCTTGTTTGCAGTCTCTAGTACTTGTGTCAACACATTCTTGCTGATGCGAATCTCCACCCCATTCACATAGATTTTAAATGCATGAATGGATCCATTTGTATTATGCTGATAGGTGATGTTGTTGTAGAAGTACTGTAACATTTTTGGGTAGTATGGTGCATTCAGAGATATCACCTTCAGTCACTCTTGTTCGACAAAGGGTGCTAGAAACCCGTAATTCTCGAAATGAGAATACGCATCTGTCGTCAATGGCCTTCCAGGAGCCACCTTGCGGTTGTGCATTCTCCTCTCTTCATATTTGTCACTTTGCTCCTTGGTCTGGAATAGAGTGGGGTTGAAGTCATCCCAATCAAAATTTGAGGCAGCCCCTTTGTCAGACTTTCTTTTCTTTTTCCCTCGAAACATCCTGAAATCAAACAAGTGACAATTCACGTTAAGCATATTTTCGAAAGGAACGGGTCGACCTATACACTACATGCATAGACAAAACAGAACAATGATAGGTCGACCTCTACACATCATCTGTCGACCTCTGTTTGCAAGCAGAATCAATAACCCCAAACATTTACGTAAATCTACGATACAAAAATTTAAATAGGTCGACCTCAAAAGCATCATAGGTCGACCTAATAAACACCATAGGTCGAACTCAGTTAATCAGGGAAAAATATGGGTCGAAGATACGCAAAATTGGAGTGCAAAACATCATAAGTCGACCTCGGTTAATCATGTACAAACTTGACCGAAGAAGAAGGCCAAGACTCGTCAAAAACGTTTCGACCTCAGAAACAACACAGGTCGACCTCAGTTCATAAAAAACGAGAATGGATCGAAGCAAACCGTAATGTTTGAAGTGAAAAACATCACAGGTCGACCTCAATTCATTAAAAACGAAATGGATCGAAGCAAACGCGTAATATTTGGAGTGCAAAACGTCATAGGTCGACCTTAGAAACATCATAGGTCGACCTCAACTGATCAAAAACTAGAATAGGTCGACCTTAGAGACATCTGAGGTCGACCTCAATTCATAAAAAACGATAATGGTCAAAGTAAACAGTAATATTTGGAGTGCAAAACTTCATAGGTCGACCTCAAGAACATCACAGGTCGACCTCAGTTCATTAAAAACGAGAATGGTCGAAGCAAACGCGTAACATTTGGTGTGCAAAATGTCATAGGTCGACCTTAGAAACATCATAGGTCGACCTCAGCTGATCAAAAACTAGATTAGGTCGACCTCAGAGACATTTGAGGTCGACCTCAGTTCACAAAAAATGATAATGGTCGAAGCAAACCGTAATATTTGGAGTGCAAAACATCATAGGTCGACCTCAAGAACATCACAGGTCGACCTCGATTCATTAAAAAAGAGAATGGTCGAAGCAAACGCGTAACATTTGGAGTGCAAAACGTCATAGGTCGACCTTAGAAACATCGTAGGTCGACCTCAGCTGATCAAAAACTTTCGACCTCAGAGACATCTGAGGTCGACCTCAATTCATAAAACACGAGAATGGTCGAAGCAAACCGTAATATTTGGAGTGCAAAACATCATAGGTCGACCTCAAAACATTAAAACGAGTATGGATCGAAGCAAACGTGTAAGATTTGGAGTGCAAAACATCATAGGTCGACCTCAAATCATAAAACACGAGAATGACTGAAGCAAACGCATAATATCACAGGTCGACCTCAAATCTGGTCGACCATGAAGAAGACCAGGTCGACCGATTATGGCGAACAGAATATATAAATCTGTTTTCATCTTTAGGTTTTTGTAAAAACAATCTAATCTACCAATAAAGAACATAAAACTAGAACCAAATGAAGGAAGATTGAAATACCCACCTTATTCTTCTTAATAAACAGATGGAGGTTTTGATTCTTCTCCCATGAGATTTTTGAAATTGGAGAAGAAGAAGGGAAATGAGAGGAAGAATAGGGGATGGAAGTAGATGGGGTTCTGGTTGTGGGAGGGAATGAGTGGAGGAGGACTGGAGGAGGTTCTTAAATATGGGATGGAAGGATAGGGTTTGGGTTGATGTTGTCATACTAACCGGTTTGGTCAGCCAAACAGATAAACGGTCGATCCCATAATATGATAGGTCAGCCTCATATGGTCTGGTCGACCGTGTCTTATAGCAGGTCGATCGTGTCTTGTAGCAGGTCGACCGTATTTAATGTATTTGTTTATTTCAACCAACAATCAACTAACTCATAAATTATGAATATAATTAGAAAATAAAACACTAACATCATAGTTACAAAAAAAATAAACTCCTAAAAACAATAGAAGATATTTAAGATCTTTTTTGGGACTTTTTCGGGCATTTAGGGCGAAAAATGACCAAATTTTCCACATTTGAACATTTTCTTACGCTTTTGCCCGATGCAATTCGTGCTAACTTGAATGTCCCCTTGGTCTTCCCAATTTTTGGGTCTTTCACACTACGAAGGGGTGCTGGAGGGTTTGCATGTGCAGTTGTGTCTGTTCTCTCCCTCGAGAACTCAATTTCCCATTGAGTAAGGTCATCCAACGACTTAGAGACATGATTACAAGCAGCTTCACTACCACACGCGATGTCACACAAACGCTTACACTTTAGAGACAATCCTCCATGTCTTATCAGTCTACCAAATTTCTCTCCCACATCACCTCCAACTCCAGGATGACGATATAGTGTCTTCGCATTTTGGGTCCATCGAAGCTTGAACCACGTGGAGGGTAGTGCGATGTATCCCATATTTTTTTATTACTGTAAGCATATGTCTGCATGGAAACCCCTTAGATTCAAATATTGCACACTCACATTTTAGATCTTGATTGGTCTTAGTAAATATTAACCTCCTTATCCGATTCGGTTCATGCAGTTCTTCGGAATGAATGTCATCTGATTCGGTTCTTTTCTCTGCTAATACATAAGAAGCTACATTCTCTAGTTCAGACTTGAATATAGCAAATGTATGATGTGTGTAGATACTTTCATCTTGCATTTCCCATGTGCGAAGGGCATGCTTGCAGACCAACCTCGTGTACTAGAAGAATAATCATCTTGCACCTCCGTGAAACGTATCCCCTCCAGTGCTTCATCAATGCACTGAACAAAACGTTGCAAGATGTATTGAGTTCCCACATACCCATTTATCCAATGGTTACATGACTCACATCGCGAGGTTGCTTGGAGTCCACCGAAATAAATATCCTTCAAGTATGTCTCTGCCCACAGTAATTTGTCAGCGTACAAATCTTGCAATCACTTATTTGCAGACAAACCATGCTCACTAATCAAAAGCTCCCAGCGCCTCTCAAACTCTTCACTCTATATACGTGCTTTCGCCAAGTGGGTGAATGTGCTAACGAACTCTCTATTATGAACGGCCATTCGCGCATTTGTCTCAATATGCCAAATACACAGACGGTGAGGCACTCCAACCAGAACAGTAGCAATGGCGTCACGTATAGACTTGCATCTGTCTGTGATCATTGAAGTTGGCATCTTAGAGTTCATACACTCTTGAAAAGTATTCAACAACCAAACGTAGTTGGGCATTGTCTCGTTATCCAACTAGGCAAAACCATATATGATGTTACGGTGGTGGTGATTTACACCAACCATCATAACAAATGGTCGATTGTATTTGTTGCGCTTGTAGCATGCATCGAACGACAAGACATCCCCAAAAAATGGTAATCTGCTCTAGATGTGGAGTCCGACCAGAAGAGATTGCTTAATTCACCTTCATCGTTGGTTGTGTAATTGAAGAAGCTGTCAGCATCAGAGGTATGTTTACTTTGCAAGTAACCCAATGTTTGGTTCTCATCTGTTATTAGATCCTCGTCAACTGTTCGGGATTTCTGAACAGCGTTATCCAAATCCTTTGGAGTGTACCCTAGATCTCATATCATTCAACTTTATTCTTCATGAACTGAACAATGTTGCATTGTTTTATTCCTGACTATTGCATCCCTATCGCCAAAGCCATGTCTCTTCACTCACAGTTCGATGAGACCGAAGGAATTGAGTTTCTTCTTCATTGCAGCAACGATGTGAGTGCTTCCTCTCGAACTTAGAAACAACCCACATTTTTTTATTCTGATCAAAGCGTACAGTATACGATGCCTTGCAAGAATGTCTTGTCATCTTACGATGTTGCCGTGCCCGACCTTCTTCCGATCAAAGCCCAAACATTGACGCATAATTCAAGCGGGCCGAGTTAAAACCGACGCCTAAGCCACCAATTTTGGAGAGTCTCATATCAAACCAAATTTGAGAGAATGTGCCATACTTTGAGGCTAAGCTAGAGATAAACCTAAAGGGTTTGGTTGAACGAGTTTCTATCCATCTTTCTCTCCCATAAAGTCTTATAGAAGAGCCTATAAATAGACCCCCCTCCCCCCTAGAGTAGTAGTCGAAAATTAAGTCTGACATGGAGGTTACTCCACCGACAAAGCAACTCTCCAAACCCATAAACATGTCAAATTTCAAGGGCATATCGGCAACAAAATTGGCGCCCTAGGTGCTGATTTTTCTTCAGTCATCAATTTTCAGGCCATTTTGGGAGCCTTTGTCATTGACTAATATTCTCACATGGTTCTGTCCCCATAAGAGGTTAGTTCGTTATTTGCATAGATGTGCAAGGCCCTAAAGGTTCTTTAAACTTTGTAACTATATATACGTGTATTTGAGTTCTTCTTTCATGTGTTTGATTCTCTAGTTTGATTTATTGTCAATGCAATTCCGTGCTAGACCGAAGCTATTATCTCATAAGATGGAAACTTCAAAATCTGACTTTATGTTGGATGTGACTGGACATGGGCGTCCTTCACAATCGATTGAACTGCGTGACTTCTCAATGGAGGAATCCTTAGGGTCCTTGTAGCCTATTATTTGGTAAACGCCATGACACAAGTATAAATAATTCTTGCAAGAATCAAACAACTCATATGCTACCCGTATCAATCGGAGCATGTCTAAGAAAAAACTATAAGGAAAACTTTCCTATGCAACACATCTTTCTCTTTCTTTCCTCGTGCAAAGTAGCTTAGGTTTTCCTTGTTTGTTAAAACCAAGGGGAACCTCAACCTCCACAGTCATTTTGAAGCTCCAAATAACAAGTCCCTTGCAATCTCAGTAGGTGATCGTGCGAGGCACTAAGGGTATACAATCCTGATTATCGATAAGGTAAATTTGTGTTTGCTCTACGACGAATCAGCTGTGTGGATCTCAAAAGGTTAGGCAGAATAAAAAATATGATTCGATCCAATAATACAACACAAAATTACAACTACATCAAGTTCACATATATTAGTTAAAAGTTAAAAATTAGTGGGGATCAGTAAATTTTATTGCTAGATGGCTGCATTGTTCAACGATTTTGCTAAATTGCTTAAGACCAATTGATTCTAAACAACACGAAGTGAGTTTAATGCTACTACCATATCATTAAATGTATTTATATATATGGATACGACTTGTATGCTCCAGACGCATACCATACTCTAGGCCTTTGCACCGTTGATCTAATCTAACAGCGTTTATTAATTCCAAAAGTTTGATTTTTAAGAGGCCTATTATTCAACACGCAAAAGTTATATAATTGATGATAATTGTTTGTCCGTTAAAATTTCTTAAGAAGGATTAATTAATCAAACGCCCTCATCAACCTGATACAGACTCGCATCATCAAAGGCGATCACCATCATATGCAAGCCACACTGCTACCCTAATTTCACCATCTTCATCAATAGACCTCAGCTACCCCTAATTACACAGTCATCATCAAGGGAATAAATTTGCCTCCACTAATTAATGAATCAAAGATTCATCTATTTCTCTAGTAGCAGCTCCAAAAAGCAGTCTTAAAAAAAGCAAAACTTTACTGTCATAGTGCCACTGAAAGTCCATCGTCATCATCAAAGCTATCAATATCGATTGCGGGTTCGATTCTTACATATTCTGATCAACCCACGCCGATTGAAAGCTCCTACTTCAAGTTTTAGAATTCGTTAGGGTTGGATCACACAAATGATTTGGTGTTGATCGCGTTCAATGCCGGGAGAGGTTGCTGGTTCATTCGCTGCCACGGCTGTAGCACCCGAGCGCCGGCGGAGATGGGCTCAGTGGGTCTCTTGATTTAAGAGCCGAGGGTGGAATTCGATCGTGGCGACGACGGGGTTTAATGTGTTTGAATGGAGAGGCAAGAGTAGGATTATTCCATCAATTGTTCAGAAGCAGGCATTCTCATGGCCGGAGTTCAAATTCGAAACAGAGAAACTGCAGGGGGAGATAGTGGCGAAGAAGAAGAACCCTTTCGTAGAGATTCTAGAAATCTACAATTGTCTTGCATCTTTTATTAAATTCCCTTTCTTCTTCAATGAACCGGGTAACCAGCCTGGACCCAGGCGACGTCAACGTCGTAGACGGCCCGGGTCTTGGAGAGGTCGAGGATCAGGAAAGGGGACTTTATCTCGGAGGCGTAGGAGAGGATCAGGATCAGCACAGCCATATGCGAAAGAGCCACAAACAATGACGAACGGGATGAAGATGAGGACAGGTGGCGACGGCGCTACTGCCGACGATGATACTCCGGCATCATTGTAGTTTGCAACAGCTTTTTCAGAAAAAGGCTTCTCTTTTAGGATCTCGAGTAAAATATTATTTGAGATTTTGCACCTAATTAAGAAATTGGGTATGTTTAAGTTATGGTTAAACAAAATTAGGTACCGTAGTGTGAAACTAAATGATATAATTTTTTGGGGGATTAAAGATAACGTATTAAAATGTAAAAGAATCAATTAATTATCTTTAATTTGTAAATTATAGATAATATTATCATATTTAATGAAAGCCATCAGATTAAATTAACGGTTTGGAGAACCTGGAGCATATTATATGTCTGGAGCATACGAGTCTGACCCACATATATATAAACGTGAATTTCACTAAAGTATTATATTTTGATACCCCAAATTTAATTAAATTACAACTTAGTCACTATAATGTACATTTTGGACTTTTTCAGAGGGATTTTTCCAGAAATAGCACCATTAAAAAAATGACAAAAATAGCACCCAGACCACAAAAATTCCAAAAGTAGCACCCTTTTTTTAAAACCGCACGTCCAAAGTGTGGTTTACATATAAACCACAACCTGAAGGTGCGGTTTGCTTTTCAGAACGTGAATCGCACCTTGGACAGGCGGTTTGCTTTCTGACCTACCAAAACCGCATCTTGGCAAGGCGGTTCTTAGGCTGACCTAGCAAAACCGCCTGCTGAGGATGTGGTTTATGTTTCTCTAACACAAACCACATCCTCAGTGTGCGGTTTTCATTTGCAGACACACAAACCGCACCCCCCCTACGGTTTGTGTGTCGTTCCCATTTTCCCGAAAACCAGCATGTTGGCCATGCAGGTTGACAGACGTGGGGGCTTCATAGGAGATGAAAATCGCACCCTCCCCCTGCTGTTTTCAGTGATGATTTAGCCTATAAAAGGCAACCCCGGGAAACCTCTTCTCTTCACACCTCTCCTTCTTCTTCTTCTTCTTCTTCTTCTTCTTCTTCTTCAATTTTCTGTTGTAGCACCCTACTTTTTATTGTTTTTCCGATTAACGTTATCTCGTAAGTTTATTTTGTATTACTTTTTAACGTGATTTATGATTTTTATGATTTTAACTGAATTACAGTTTTATTGCAGATGACATTCCAAAAGTTCACGCTTGGGTTACGTTGGAATGGTTACACGGAAGAGACTGGAAAGGGGGTCACCTACGTCGGTGGCAATACCGATGCTTGAAGACCTCCATCAATGTGTACTAATGTTACTTGCATGGATGGCACGAGAAGAGTTGATCGTATGGTATACCGATATCCAAACAGAGAAGGCGGGTCGTTGTGGCATGAGGAATATCTCATAACCACTCAGGATGAATTAGATGCCATGCTCGAATTCTTGAGGTCGAATAATATTTTCAAAGCCGAGATTTTCGTTTACACCGAGGCGGTCGAAGGCGTTGGAGGTAATTCTGGAGACGGGCAAACATCTGGTACCATGGTGGACGTGAATTATATGGTGATCATCCCTACCAAAGTTACCATGATCCTCATTCCTACTTTCAGTACCAAGAGCAAGGTGAAGCTCGTCATCAATCTTTCCCATCATATGAAGAAGAAGTTCAACGACACCATGCCAACCAACCCGAGTACAACTTCCATTCAGGCAGCGACAATTTTCAAAACTACCATTACGAAGCTGATGAAGGTGCCTTTCATGATCTGGATCAGATGGAAGATGCCCTGCCAACACCAGTTAGTGACCCCTCTGATGAAGAAGAAGAAGGGAGCAATGTTAGTGCAGACAGTTCCGACCCTCTTGAAGGTGCTGATGATTCAGGAGGCCGAGAGTCAGATTCAGATGATGATGAGGTGTCTCGTGACCGTGTACCTATTTCGTACTACACTCACATTCCAGACGACAATTGGTGTTTCGATAGCGACATGGGGCCGCCAGAGGTCCCAGTATGGGGTCCACTCACTAGGTTTGTGAAGGGCCAACACTCGTAAGACTCTTAGAAGAGGTATACATCTTCTTAGAAACACAGCCTTTTTGACGGTAAAAGGGGGATCCGAGGATCGCTTAAAACCTGATTTTCCCAGGGAATGGGAGGATCATGATAATCGTATAGAAATTCATTTCCTTAGGCATGCATCTCTTTATAAAGAGTCTAAGTAAGTGGCGCTATGTATTCGATTAAATTATTGAAAACAACCAATATGATTAAAAATGATCAAATTTATTTTATATTCCTCTAAGTACGTTAACAAATTAAAAAAGAAAGAGAAATGATGAAGAATTGTATGTACCTCGTGATGATTCCAAACATCCCTTGAACGATGGTTGGGTTGATCGTACAACACGGTTGGATCACTAGACCGTTGATCAACATAATAGCGTTGGTTGTATATATCCACATCGTCCCCAACCTAAGAGAGAATAACAATAACATTAGTACATAGATTAATTGAAAAGGTTATAACCACAACATTTAGTAATGAGTACGTACCGCTTGAAATTCATCATAATAAATTCCCTCTTCTTGGAACCACTCGTCCATTTTTTTCGCGAAAGTCAGACAGAGATTCGGCGGGTTTTGAAGGAAAAGCCAAAGAAATGTTTTCTGATGGCATATCGGACTTAGCCGCAACCAACAGACCACTATTTCCTAGGCTTTTGGGAGGGGAGGGGGATGGATAGAGAGATAATTTTAGAGAGAAAGAGAGGAGAATGGGTTGTGGTGTGAAAAAATGAGGAGGGGGAGGGGGCGATTCACGGCGATCGAGGAGCTGACCATTCGCCAGGTGCGCGGTCTTCGATCCCTGACACGGATCGCTGCGCTGGCGCGCGGTCAGCCGTTGGATCGCCCCCATCCAACAGTGATGGGGACCGCCGACTCGGGAATGCAGACCACACGCTGACAGTGTGGTTTTCAAGCTGCCCTAGCGTGGACCGCTCCCCCGTTGTGCGGTTTGCACCTAAAACGCACCTTGAATGTGTAGTTTATATGTAAAGGTGCTATTTTTGAAATTTTTGTGGACTGGGTGCTATTTTTGGATTTTGTTTATAAAGGTGCTATTATTGAAAAAAAAAACTTTTTTCAGAAATAGCACTGTTTTTTTTTTTTCAAAAATAGCACCCAGTCCGGAAAAAATCCAAAAATAGCACCCTTTCTCGAAAACCGCAGGATGGGGGCATGGTTTTCGACAAAAACTACACGGGTAGGGGGGTTTTACTAATCGCATGGGGCATGAGCAGTTTGGGTGCAAACCGCACTCCCACCCGGCGGTTTGTAATAAATTTTTTTTTCCAAATAATTGTCATAACCGGTTTAGTTGTTTCTCTGTGTGTAAGAGGTCTTAGGTTTGAAACACCATCATCTCATATTAAATCTTTTTATTTTATAGAGATTAAAAAAAGCAGCATGTTGTCGGGGTGATGGTTCGAACCCTGATAATAAATAATTAACTAAATTTAGCAGAACATCTACACCACCAAACTACAACTCTGTTATTGAAACAATTACTTATTGACAAAGTTTAGTACTTGAACGCTAAAAATCCTCAATAACTTTGAACAACCATAACTTTGTGCTCCAAAATCCGAACGTCGTGAAATTTTTTTCTTTCGCATAACTTTTGAAGGACTACAATTTTTACTATGAAGAAATTTTCAAAACAAGAATTATTTTTGGATATACAGGGTTTTGGGAATAACTTTATCTTCCCTTTTCACAAATCCACGTACATTCCGAAATTATGTCTGTGATAAAAGTTGTAGTACTTAAAAAGTTATGCGAAATGAAAAAAAAATTCATGACTTTCAGATTTTGGATCACAAAGTTATGGTCGTCTAAAGTTTTACGAAATCGGAAAAAGCTCGTTCGGGGTAGCAAACGACATTTTCTCGGGATGAAGGCGGGACCAAAAAAAATCGCGACGATCGGACACCCGAACACAAAGATACGTTCGTTTGAAGTTTCCACCTAAGTTAGGATTTTTTGAAAAAAAAAACAATGGACCACACCGCAGGATTGGGCAGCGATTTTGAACCAAACCGCCCCCACCCCGAGTGGTTTTCAAAATCGCCCCGTAATCATGCGGTTTTCATTGAAAAGCGTGGAGTCAATTTCTTTCGAATGAATCTTTCCATACTAATTAGTACCATTTGGTCCCTAGTAGGGATGGCAATTACCCACCCATGGGTAACTATACCCAAACCCAAGTAGACCCATTGATAATGGGTTGGGTATGGGTGAAGTGCATATGGGTTTGGGGGGTTTGTATATGGGTTTGGGTAATGTATGAATATTGATTCCATAATCTAAATGGGTATGGGTTGGATATGGATATCCATTTACTTGAGGGTGTTTTAACTACACATGCAAAAATTGGACCTATTTGTAAAACTTGAAAATTTTAGGTACCAAAATGTAATACCAAAAAAATTTAGGTACCAAAACGTAATTTTCCATCGATATTTTGAGGACTTATATGTAAAAAAAGTTAAATTTAGGTACTAAATATGCATATCTATTAAGTTTAGGTACCAAACTGTAATTTGTATCTGGGCATGGTACAAACCAAGGTTGTCGACCCACGGGTTAACCCACTTTGACCCTGACCCAGTGAGAAAAACGGGCCGCACACACCCGCCGGGTCGACCGCCACACGGTACCGGGTTGGAGGTCAAATTGTGTCATTTTTTCTTTGTTTTGCGAAATGCGCTTATTTTTCGCTTTTTCTTTTCGCCTAACTCAATCTTTGGAATCCTAAGTTGAACATTTGAATATTAATGATATATAAGTGTGTGAATTTTCACTATATGTTGAATCTAAGTACGAAATGTTATTTTGGTGTAATATTATATGTTATAACTCATATGTTAGATGAGATTTGATATAATTTATCAGGATAAATACAATATAATGACGCTTTCCATATTTTCGGGCTAAAACGGGTGACCCATTAACCCTTGACCCACTAGCTCAACCGGGTCCGGGTCAACTTGCGGGTTGACAACCTTGGTACAAACCCAAATCCATTTGTTATAAACCCAACCCAACCCAAAGTAAATGGGTATGGGTACGAACCCATCAAATTCTACCCATATCCATATATTTGGATTTCATACACAATCTCAATTGAGCTGGATAGTAAAAAACTCATGGGTATGGCAAAATTGCCATCCCTGGTCCCTAGCTACTTAGGACCATAAATACAACTCGATTGTAACAATCATTTGATGAAATCTGAAACAGGAAAGAGCACACTGATAACATTGGACACTTAAATAAGTAAATATGGTTAAGTGCTCCCTCATAAACTTTCTCTATCATTACATTCTTTCTGCATTTATGCTCTGAAAATCTACAAAAAGATTTATTGAAGAAATTTGCGGTGATAAAGTGCACATAAATAAAGGGTTAAAGGGAGGAAACCAAAGAAGACAAAATTCATTTTAAGAGACAACTGTTAACCTGAGCAGGCTGCCCAACCACCTCACACGACACGACCGCCATCCATTCCTGACCTTTCTTCTCCTTCTTCTAAGCTTTTCCCGCTCACTGCCTGCCCAAATTAAAAGCCCATTTGCGCTGCAAATCAAAGCTTCTGTCGCATCGCTCTCGCAGGAGTGCAAGCCAAAGATCTCATCTCGTTCTAATCTTTTCCAACTCAAGTTGATTCATAAATTGACTTGTCGTACCCTTTTTATGGACATCCATTTTGTTTCTCGATTTTTATTCACAAGTATATATGACCCTCATTGTCATAATCAATGATACTGTCAAAACAGAAGCGTGCAATTGATAATTCAAAACAACGCAAACGATGATAAATTTAACTTGGTTTACTAATACAATGTGTGCTAGCTAATCCACGGACAGGGAAGAACAAATTTCACTGATTTGGGGAAAGTACAAGTTACAAACCAAATTTCAGACGGACAAACCAAACAAACTGACCTGTTCGACCTTACTACAGATTAGGGTGATGAAAAATATATATAGAATTCTTCTCCTAATCCCAAATAGAAAACCAAACACATTTTCCAGACTTACGAGGAAAAGGCCAAAACAAAATCAAAACACAAACCCAAACAAAATATGCCCACAACACAAAACAAAGTCCAAATCAAATTCAAGTAATATTCTAACAGCTACTCGGATCAACTAAAAAATCATGAACCTGTTGAACCTTGATTGAGCGTTGATCCGGTTTGGCTAGAGCTATTTACTCGGGACTATTTATCAATATTCAGTACCACTTAAAAGTTAAAACGATCATTATTACTGAAAGTGGAGAGAGAGACAAACAACTTCATTAGCATAGTGAATACAAACACCTTTGTGTTCTCACACGAAATGATGACGCATTCTTGTGTTACAATTTGCATTAAACAATATGAACAATAATTAGTGTAATAAAAAATGTGTAAGTTATAACAAGTATTAAGTAAGTAATTTAATACGTTGACTTGAACAATCCATTAATGTAATAAATAATGTGTAAGTTGTAACGATTGTACTATATAATTTTCTCAAATTCATTAGAGCGATAGTCTCACCAATATAAAGGTATTCATCGAGAGAATCAATTATGGAACCCCAAGCTAGCATAGCACATATCACTCATTATTTTATCTCCAGACAGTACAAAATTATTACCAACAACATCAACCATTCTAACAAATGTTGGATTCGCCTCCAACACGACTCCGAAAATGCAATGGAACAATGCAGTATACATACGAAACACCTTTTGATGATTCACTCATCGTATTTTGGCCTCCCATCATTTTGACCAAAGTAATCGTTCATATCAAGCATTGATGGGCAACTTCTCTATGATGTCTAGTGATGCCTCGACTGCCAACTTGTCGGGTAAGTGTTGCACGTTCCTCATCCTTCATTTTCAAGCTCTGCATACTCTTGCTCATCTGATGACGAAGATTGAGATGCGTACATAATGATTTGTTGTGGAAATTTGAAAATAGAGAAGAGCGGGATGAATTGTTTTCCACTTAACAAGTTATACTATATTGACAAATGAGTAGGATCTAGATAGTAAATGAATGGTGTAAGTTGTTTCAAGCAATGCAGTCAAAGTCTAACTTCTATGTAAAAACAAAAAAGTGGTAAAACCGATAGCACATAAGCAAAGCGTAAAAGCATAATCTCTTAAACATTCTAAAAATTTGATAAAAAAAAAAATTTAACCTTCACTTTTATTTTGAAAAAATATAAAAAAAATAAATGAACTAGCTCATATATTAAAGATAACTTTCACATACATAAAACTAAATTAGTAAACTTTTAAACAAGCATTCACCACCTTCCTCCTTTTTCAGGAAAATAAATATGTGAACATAAAACAATTGAAAAATGATGAAGCTATAAGGGTTATAGGTAAATGAGCGTTGGGCCGTCCTTGGGTCGGCACGGCACGAGCACGCTTCAGACCCATTTATTTCGTGTCTTGCTTGGCATGGACCGTCACTTTTTGTGTTGTCTAAAGTTTTACGAAATCGGAAAAAAGCTCGTTCTGGGTAGCAAACGACATTTTTCGGGATGAAGGCGGGACAAAAAAAAATCGCGACGATCGGACACCCGAACATAAAGATACGTTCGTTTGAAGTTTCCACACATAAGTTAGGATTTTTTGAAAAAAAAAACAATGGACCAAACCGCAGGGTTGGGCAGCGATTTTGGACCCCAAACCGCCCCCAGCCCGAGTGGTTTTCAAAATTGCCCCGTAACCATGCGGTTTTTATAGAAAACCGTGGGGTGGCGGTTTTCTAGAAAGGGTGCTATTTTTGGAATTTTTCGTGACTATGTGCTATTTTTGTAAAAAATTTTAAACAGTGTTATTTCGGGGGAAAATCCGTACATTTTACATTTTGATACCCCAAATTTAATTTTAATGTAAAATCATTGAACAATTATGTTTGTTATCAAAATTTTATGATATTTTCCTACCTACAATTTTTTATTTTTACATATTAGTCCAATGCTTAGATTTCACTTGAGTCCATGAATCCAATCCACCATTCCTTTTGAACTAATCCATGAATCCAATCCACTGA